TGTGACACGGCCAAGCAGACGGCTCTTCTCCGGGCTGGGCATACACGCTGCCTCCAGCAGGACCTCGTGAGCTGCTCTTTCCCAGCCCGGATCTTCTTTGGATCCTCCACCTCCGTGTCCCTCCTAAATGCCCAGAATCCGGACAAAAGATTCTAGGCGCGGTCTGACCAGTGCAGAACAGAATCTGATCCTGATAAGCTTCACAGCCGACTTCCCTTGTTGGCTTTTTCTGCAGCTGCATAACGTGGTTGGCTCGTGTTCTGCGCATGGTCCACTAAGACCCCTTAACCCTTCCCTGCAACGTTTCCTGTGGCTCCACTATGAATCCGGGGTCCACAGCCAAAGAGGGAGGCAGCCGGCCGTGTTCATCCCTTGGGACATCAGGCCCCATTGAGAAAGTGGAGAGAATCTGTCCGCAGGGTGGGCAGGGGGCTCTCCCTTTCAGCACGAGAAGCCCTCCGAGCTGAATTCTTCCACGTAGCTCACAGGAGGGGTCAATAAGATGCTACACACAGATCCCGACTGGCCCAACTATGCCAGATCCCTCCCTTCCCATGGCTGATGCCCACGTCTGATCTTAGCTAGGGGCTTCAGCCCCAGATCCACAGGGAGAAGCTCAGAGCCGTGGCTCAGCTCCTCAGCTGCCCCAGACACTGGCCTCCAGCCAGCAGCATGAACGGGCCTTAAAATGGGCCTTTTGCTCTCACCTTTCCTCCCTTTCACTGAGCTTTCAGGTGGCTTCACAGTTGTTTGATTTCAAATGCCCTTCAAATGGAGAGAGGTAATTAACCTGTCTATGCTCGTTTCTTTCTTGGGGCAGCAGCAGAGGGACCCTCTGTGATGGACCCTCCAGACATATAACTATAGGGTCAGGTTGCTGCAAGGAAGAGGTGAGAGTTGGAAAGGATAAATATGGGTGGGGGGGAGTTTCCAGTTACAACTGCAGCAAGATGCAGCAACTGCTTTACTTCTGAGCCACCCCTTCCCTGCCCTTGCCCACTCTGTTCTGAAGGGAGAGATGGCAAAACATCCACGGGGCAAGTAGTGGCCTTACCCCGTTCCTTGTGCAAAGGCTGGGAGAAGCCATGCCAGTCTACAGGCCAGAGTCATGCCAGAATGCCATGATAGTCTGGCAGAGACAGAAAGATACCCGTAGAGGGAAGGCTTACGAGGGCCCACCCAAATACCAGACCAGCTAGAGTGGTGCCACCTTTCCGAACCTCAATCTTTGTTAGGCAACCTTGGCTCACTTGAGCAGGCTAGAAAGATGGATGACCCAGGCCTGCCTCAGACCAAGCAGAATCCCAGGGAAATTGGTTGACACCTATTTTTCCTTCGAATGCGGAACGCGTTATGCAGGATGCTGAGCCCAAAGGTGGATTTACACATTTGCTGGGAACAAGGTGGGTCTCTAATTACATCTTTAACTGCCCAGAGTGGGGGGGGGTGCTGTCCCTGCACCTACGTCCTGGCCACAAAGGAGAAGTCACAGGATTTGCCCACCAACTTAAGAGACCAACCAACCTTCCCACAATGGAGTTGCCAAGACTGGTCCTGTCTAACCCAGGATACCACAGGTTGGAGGCTGGCGAAAAAGGGGAAGGATAGTTTTTGGAAGGATTCTTACTCACTCTGGTTTGTGGGGGTGGAAGAGAAAAGATATTCTTACCAGAACAAGTCAGAGTTTCCATGGTAAGGCTAAGACCGGCTGCCCCAAGTACCACCCCTGGAAGCGATGAGACACCAGCCGTGCTAAGGAAGGAGGAATTCCAGCAGGAAGTTGTTCATTCCCAAAACACCATAGAATTAGGTGCTGCTGCTGCTGCTGCTGCTGCTGTGTGATGACTGAGCCTGGGGATTCCTGACCCCCAGAATCAGCAAACGGAAGCCAAGATAACCACAACCCCCATCCTTCGGGTGCAGAGCAGAATGGAAGAGGGGGCAATAGCAGAGAGGCTGCCCGACTCGGGGGGCACAGGCTGGGCAAGAATGGGGAAGCAGCCTCTGGGGGTGCTGCTTATGCTACTCCCCGACTTCTGCAAAGCATGAGGCAGCTGTGAGAGAGGACCCGGCCCAACTGTGCCACCGCGAGAGGAAACCGCCTTGCCGAGACTCCGTGGAGGTGTGGGCCGAGGGGCAAGCGTGGCTTCCCCTCTTCTCCAGGCGGCTGTGGGTCAAAGAGCCCCGGGAACCTGGCTGGGGCTCTGCGTGGGATACATCTTTGCAAGAGCCACCTGGAAGGCTTGTTTGCCGTTTAATGACTTGGTTGAATCGTCTGCTGCCCGGAGGGCTGTGGAGCCGGGTGGCCTGATCCGTTCCAAGGAAAGGGAAAGGGGGGGGGGGGGGACAGTGTTCATCATAAGTTGGGGCTTTCAAAGGACTCCCTGAGCAAACACACAGGGAGGAGCCTGGCAGGAGGGTTAGGGGGGAGAGTCCAAGGGGAGGCCCTTTGTGGTGGCTCCATCAGCCCAGCCTGGAGAGAGGGGATTGCCCTCAGGGCCTCTTGGCTTCCCTCCCTGAAGACGGAGCCTGCGAGGGTTGGGCAACTGCCCTCTGAGCAGGGAAAGCCAGCAGAGGGAGGCAGGCCTGTGTGTGTGTGTGTGTGTGTGCCACACAAACACACACACACCTATCATGGGAGGTGG